GTAACTCTTGTTATTTACTCAAACTGTTTAAATAGTGACACGGCAAACAGAGCGTTGCTACAATTGCTTTGACGATATCATAAAATTTATAACTAATTTTCATCAATATTCGAGCTATATTGGTGAAAGTACACTCAATCATCTGATAAGATAACATTCAAATATAAAAAATTCAGCTTGTATCGATGTAACGTATAATATTCACTTGATTTTTAAACACTTCCAACGTATTTACACTTTATACTTCCAGTTTTTACATTCATTTATTCTGTATTATACGAATAATGAGTAAAATTTGTTTAAAGAGTAATCTATCTACCTTAAGAGTTAATTTAAATTAAAACCTAAAGTATTCCAATATTTTTTGCTATATTTCTTATAATGTATTTACTTCAAAATGATCTCCATCTTATGATTTTGGTTAAAACATATAAAGGCCGCCTTTTAAGTTTTTACAAATGACCACTAGATGGGGCTATTGACATGTAACATTACTATTTTCTATCAATTTTGCTTCTGTTATTGTTTTAGATTACCTTGTCTAATTCGGTCTTTTATAGTGAACTCCGTAAACTGGGAAGTAATTCTCCGGAATACGAGTAGCTACCTTCGCAGTAGCACAATACTTATTCTGGCGTTTCCTCCTCTTCCTGACAGAATCGGGTCTATTCTGTCAGACCAATATTATACATATGCAAGTATTGATTCCATGTTAACCTGTGGTCAAAGATGACTCCCAAGTATTTGGCCTCTTAAACAAATGGAATCTTAACTGCTAACTCAACAATCGCTTCATTCAACTTTTGGTGATAAAGCATCGTCAGAAAAGACTATTTACAACTGGTTTGTAGAATTTCGTCAAAATAATGCTTTCGTCGATGATGAATTTTATAAAAGTCGACAAAAATCGGTTGTTGTTCCAAAAAAACATCGATGCAGCATAATTGAAGAAATGGGCATGTAACTTACTGTGATATTGAGGTCTTCAAGATTTAGATGAGATCACTTTAAGATTGAGTCAAAGGCCATGCCGTCTTCCCGATTCGTTTACTATCCAAGAAGTCAGCCAACCAAATACTTTTTGGATATGGCCCTACCATTAGACTGACATTAGTAATGACAAATATATTAAAAGAATGTTCCTATATTAAATTCAAAGAACGATGGGATGAAACAAGAAGCTGCAGAGTTACCAGGGACAACACAATCTGCGCCTGATCGCCTCATCACAAGCAGTGTGACTGGTGCGAGCAGGTAAATGAAACTATCGAGCATATCCTCTATGGTGGCCCGAAGCTCTCCTGAAGATTTGTGTTCGGCGAGGGCAAGTATTGGCTAATAGAAGCCAATATAAGAAAGACACCTCTTGTTGACTTTGTCAACTACATCAAATCTGTAGGATAGCAGACGAGCTAAGAGGGTCTAATCAATTCAAGAGGATGCAAAATAGTCCTAGTGAGACCTAAGTGTCGTAAGACAACTTACCCTTCCCACCTTACAACAGACAGATTGAAATGTTGTTTTCTTCACCTAAAGAAGCTGTTTAAGGTTTCGAAAACCATGTTTTAAAGATATCATCTTCAGAAAAAAAATTAAAATTAGTTCTACCACTGATATTAAAACTTAAAGCGAATATTTTTAAACAAAAAAATCCATTTATACAAAAAACTTTTTTCATTCACTGTTCTTGTAAAAAGTAAACATATAACTTTCGTTAAATCAAAATATTTAATAGACCGTTAACTCACTAATGGTCCGTTAAAATTAAAATTGAGTTATAAAAAGCGGCGTTAATACAGATTTAACGGCTTAATAGTGGTTAATTAAAAAAAAAAAATACATATTTTATTCAAATGAAAGTAAAAACTTGAAAAATACGGTAAAATTTAAAAACCATAAAAATTTCGCGTCTCTGTGGCACAGTATACCTAAGTGTACTGTGTCTGTGGCGCATTATGATGAGTGAGCCTAACACAAGTAAGACGATATGACAAATGCATATAGCTAAAAAGAGAAGACAACACGCCAACAAATCCTTCAAACTGTCAAAGAACACATTAATTGGCGAGCGGCCTCACAAACAAGGCTGTCAAATCAGTGTTGCCAGTCTAGTACAATTCACAATTGTACAGGTATATATGTTATTTATCTATGTTATATATGTTATTTATCTATGTTATATATGTTAATTATCAATCGTGTTATCCTGAAATCTTTTATTTTAATTACATTTTTTTATTGCCTTGTTTGTATAATTTAGTATTTTCAAAAATATTAGATGTATTGGTAATTTGGATCATGCAGGTATTAAATTAAAATAAGGTTGTTGGTAAATTAGTTTACACTTGGTAATAAAGTATGTCTCGAAAAGAGCAATAAGTATTAAACATAAATTTTGATTTTGATTAGGCACTTAACAAGTCACATCCCACATATTTACATGCTCTGGGTACTCAATCCTATAAGTACATATCAAAACATTAATATCTATCTACAATTAAACAATAATTTGAAAATACAGATGAAGCCGATTTATCTATTTAGACAATATTACTATTATTCTATTATTTATTAAAACACATTATTTTTTAGTAAACATGTACATGCAAAAGTCTGCCATGAGGATAGGACAGTAGCGAGAGTAAGAATCCTTTGGAATGTGCTGTGAAATACACTTAGAAAGGGTCATATGGAAAATTAAGTGTGATAACATTTTATGATGTGTATCTCGCTATTTTAGTTCACAGATTTCTGTAAATGTTCAATTATGTGCTGCTATTTCAAACGTTTAGTATCCTTTGATAAAAGAAGTTGAATATTATTGTTGACCTCTTTAAATTGTTTATTTTACCTTAAAAAATTTTTTTTCTACTCTTCATATAGTATTCTGTGAAGAGTATTATAGGTTTACTTTGTTCGTCTGTCCGATGTCACGTTTTGTGTCTGCACGATAATTCAAAAAAGAGAAATGATATCAACTTGAAAATTTTAAGCAAAAATCAAGCTCTATAAGAGGACAAAGCCTATTGATTTTTAACAAATCTGATTAAAAATAAGTGGTTAAGATGGGTTGAAATTAAAAAAAAAAATCCTAAATAAAAACGAAAAGCGATATCAACATGAAATTTTTAGTAAAAATTAACCTCTATAAGAAGATAAAGCCTATTGATATTGAAAAATATCTGAATATATTGGGGAGTTAAGGGGGGTTAAAATGTTTAAAAAAAATCCTAACTGAAAAACGAAAAATAATTTTTAGCAAACATCAAGCTCTAAAAGGAGTAGAAGCCCTTTAATAATATAAAAAAAATCTGATTAAATATGGGGGATTTAAGGGGGGTTGAAATTAAAAATAAATCAAAAATGAAAAGCGATATCAACATGAAATTTTTAGTAAAAATCAAGCCCTATAGGGAGATGAGGCCTATTGATTGTGAAACCAATCTGGTAGAAAATGGGTAGTTAAGGGGGTCTGTTAAACTGCGAAGAGTATCATTTAGAATGCCAGGCATTATATATCTTTATTCTAGTTTGTACCTGTGTAATAGTATGTATTGTGATGGGACTGATCTTATAAAATAAACATTTAAAACATTTTAGTTCTTATTTTATTTGCCAAAAAAAAGGTAAAAATTTAACATAAAGTATAAAATTCTAATTTTTAAGAAAATTGGTCAATTAAAAGTTGTTTGGTATATTATTCTCTATAATTTTTATTTTTTACATGAGTACATGAGGAAAATGAAGTCTTAATTTTGCAATATTCTGGTTAATTACCAGAGTACCTACTTAGGTTGTCGATATGTTCACTATTAAGAGGCAGAAGTAGGAGTTAATCACTGCATTCAGCCTTTTCTGTTGTTTTTTGTCTTAATGTATTGTAAGTTGTAAATGTATGCCGTCGTAGAAAATTTTCAAGATTTTCTGTTTTAGTTTCATATAAAATATTTTTGGCACAAGCAAGAATAAATGAACGTTCAAAGGATAATTCTAGGATCTATCATTCTATGAAAAGTCCAGCGTTTCTTTATTTAAAAGAATTTACTCGGTACTTTTTGATTTTTTGTATTTTAAAGTTAAAGTTTTTACTAATTACGAATATAATTAAGTTTCCTATAATCTAGGACTTTCTCTGTGATTCCCAATTATATAATCTGGCACATTTTATCTTCTCTATATCATAATATTGATAGTGTTATTTAACAAAAAAACTCTTATTTGCAAGATAAACTAAAAAATATTTTATCGTAATAACTACTGTATTTGGATCCTCATTTTAGTATAGATTGGAATTATTCCATTCTTTTTTATTATTTAAAATTATAAAATTGCGAATTCCTCATAATTGTAAAAAAACATGTGAAAATTAAAAGATTTTTAATAGTAAAATTAAGAATTGATAAAGTCGAAAATTTATAATAATCTAATTATTTTTATTATTACTGTATTGGCTGAAAAATGTGCATACGATTATGAATAAAATTATTTCCAAAGACAGTACAGTTTTTACTTTATTGTAAGAAACTTTTATTATTAAGAGACTTCAAAAAAAAGCAGGTTCTCAATCCGTCGGAATATTTTTATGTATGTTCATCAATAATTCTTTACCACATTGTTAGATTTCCATGATTCTTTTTTTATTTCAAAGGGGACATTTCAGGGATGGTCCCGTATAAATTTAGTTAATATATAACAAAATCATCAATCTTTTTTTTTTTTTTTTTGTATGTTCAGTGATTCATTACAATCTTGTCTAATTTCTACCATTCTTTTTTTGTTAGAAAGGGGGTTACCTCAGGGATAGTTCCATATAAATTTGGTCAAGATTTGGTTCAAAGTCATCAAAATTTTTAAAGATTTACATAGGTATAAATGTAACGATACATATTATTATCATCACAATATCAATTTATGTAAAGACAAATTTAGAAAAAGCAAATGGATACGGGTTATTGTGAGGATAGTCCCTAGCATTAAAAAAAATATTAAATATACTATACCTATCAGTCATGTCGTTCACACACCAGAAAATGATAAGGATGCAGGTACCTTCACACTTCACACGCGTTAAACTCTAGGTACGTAATGATGATATTAATAACACATCTAGTTCTCACCTGCGATAACACAGCGCCATCTTACTAAACAAATAACAAAATGGATGCCGTGCTTACGTGAACTATCAATATCCATTGGTTCCGGATGCATATTTTCACTATTCGAGTATTTTTATAAGGAGATTCCTTATTAAATATTATGAAAATTATCTATTGTGTCCTTAACCTTTTGTAATAGTAGAGATACTATATCAAGCATAATAAAATTTATCTTGTCAACATTATAATCGCAACCCCAAAGACAAACTGTTTTTTATCAGTTCAGATATTAGAGATGCAAAATGATTATGAGATTATATAACGCAGATACAACATGTGTAAAAGATAATTCTCTATAAAATATCCTACAGAATGTTCTACTTTTTGAACGGATTACATGGAATTTGTAGAATGAATGGCAATATTTGGGAAAAAGAAATGAGGAATGGTTAACATATCAAGATTGATGTAGCAAGGTCAGATTAATCTAAAAAGTTCTAGGGTGTAAATAATAACACAGGAGGCACTAAAAATAGATAAAAAAGGTATAAGTACAATTAATTCAGAAACTAACGGGGAATTAGAAGTTGCCAAGGGTTTAGATGGTAATGAAAGAGCAAATGTGGTATTGGAGGCTCTTCTAAAATTTCACAAAGTGACGTATCTCATTGTCGGCCATTTTAAGAAAAATGAAATAAGTTTTTTGGCGAAACTGATGTATAGACATGTACTTGACACATTAATCTTCTAGTATACCAAAAATTAGATTTTAGATTGTTACTGTTACTTGTTGCCATTTGGTTCAACTTTATAAAAATCCTTAAAACGCTCTCCTGTAAAGTTGTGAAAATCTAGTTACGCCACTTAGTGAAATTAACGACGATAAGGGAACTTAATTCGGTGGAAACTGCAATGTTTCTTTACTCTACACGTGGATATTCCCATTTCCGTTAAAAATGAAATGAAGTCTGACAGTACGGAAAATCAATTTGTAGATGCAACATTTCTATCAGACCTTGCATTTTTAACAAATCTGATATCTCATCTAAACGAATTAAATTTGAAGTTAAGAGGAAAGCAGCAAAATATTTCAAATTTATGGTCAAATAAGACGAATTGAGAAACTTTTATTTTATTTTTTACTAATCCAGCATTTTTGTTTGTAGTTAGTTTCCAATATGGGCATATTTATGATCAATTTAAAATTAAACATAAGGCGTCAGTACCTACATGTGAATATTTTGTGTCGTTTCAAGATAACAGGAATACTTTTATTCCCATATCGAATAAAAGTTAATATTGGGGAAGATACCATTATAAAAAAATATATTTATCACTTTATCTATAACGATTTCACTTTATTTGATTAATTTTTTATAATATCTATTCAGTATGGTAAAATTTATCAGTTTTGGATAAAATTTTGACTGGTGCGTTACATATTTAATAAAAAAAAATATATTTTCTTCTTAAATAAACTTATTTAGTAAATGTGTGAGTAATAATAGTACAAAATTCGTTAAATTAAAGTGGAAGTGTAAAAATATATGTTTTAATAAAAATTGATATTTGATGGTGTGCATGATGAAATGGTTATATTTAGAGGTATCAAATATATCAATTATCTGGGTGTGCCTGATATGAATCAATCAATAAAAATAAGTTACACGTCATCGAAGATAAGAGGAATTGGGAGCCATTTTGTTGAAAAATACGATTTATGAAATTATAATATTTAGGAAATATGATTCAATTTAAATGAATTCTGGAAAATTTAGGTAAGAAAATGGAAAATTGTAGCATTTCTTTACTTATTAAGTAATGGTATTTTACTATGGTAGTTGGTTTAACGTTTTCTTTGAAATTTAACTTCTTATTGTGCAATAGTAACAATGTGAGCATTTAGGTAAAAAAAATTAGGTATAAATAATTTCATAAAAAAATTTTTTGAAAGACATTAAAGGAAAGACCTATCAACCAATAAGGGTCAATCTTTTCACCTCTGAGTAAAGTTACATGTAGTTTTACTTGATAGATTAACGAACAAAGCCCTATAGTTTAATCAGCAAGTAGTTACTTTCAACTTTATTCAGAGGTGAAAAGATTGACCCTTAGTCTATATTTTTTAAACAAAATATATGTAACCCGAATGGAGATGTTACTAGAACGGTATATAAATCTCTTGTGTGATAATCTCTTCCAATGGTGTTTTATCTGCTTTATCTGCCTTTTGAGTAATCTTTCAGCAGAGATATGTAATCATGAAAATTCGATCATCTGTTGGACTATTCGATAAGTGTAAATATATCAAAATATATCAAAATGCGAAATGAAGAAAAAAGTTAAACTTACTTCGGTTTTTTGTATCGTATTTGCACTGGAAAATGACTATGTTGGATGAAATGCTAGCTTCAAATGATGATACCTATAGAATACCAAGCTGACTTCGCCCTCTGTCGGATTTATTCGACGAACGAAATAGCTAAAGGTTAGCATGGATACAATTTTACCACATAGAAATACTTTTTTTTATTAAATTAAGTATAGGTACAAGGTACATTAAAAAAACAGAAACAGAAATACGAATACAGCAAAAATATAGTACTTATAAAAGTAAAATGAAATTCAAATCTTTAAAAAATACAGGATTGCTAAAAGTTTGACAACAAGGCATTTTCTTAAAAACTAAGAAGTTATTACTACAACGTAGTTCAAGTATTACATCGCTGGCCAGCTTATTTCTTCCTCCGACCAACTAACATTTATTCTATTTTGTACAGGGTTATTCATTATAAATTACCCTACCCATCATTTGTCATCGTTTTTATTGCGCAAAAAATGTTTAGAATAAAAGTTTTATGTATATGATCGAATTTTGTAAAAATGCCATTAAAAATACAGTCCCGTGCAGATTTCAAGGAATACAATATAAAATAGAATTGTTCAAATGAAATATCAATTATTATACAGGGTGAGTCATGAGGAACCTTACAGACTTCTACCATATGTAGAGTCCCTTAAGGGGTATATCATAATATGAGCATTAAAAAGTGGCAACTCCCCTTCGTTATTCGTTTTGTGAATTTTGACCAAACTTTATATGGCTGTAAAATCTACAAGGATTACTAGATTTCTTTAATTTTTGGTGGAACTTTACACTGGTGTCTATCATTAATTCATATCCTCAAAAGTTAAAAATTCCAGGATTGGCTTAGGAAAAATTAATCTCGACGATTCATATCAAAAAGTTCGCCCTGTATAAGATTTGTTTAAATTATAATAAGATATTTTTAAAGTACATAGATAGACAATCAAAACTGTGTATAACTTAAAGAAAAAATTGTTAATGGTATACATTTGAACTAAAACGAGTCTAACATAAGCCTTTAGTGCCTACACCGTTAATATCATTTTATTCAATTAGTTATAAATTTTTAATTAATTTTTAAACAAAAATCTATAAATTTTTGGAGACTCAAATAAATTAAACATAAGTTCATATGTATTTATTAGAAATATTTTATTTCGTTTTAATTTCATCAACAAACAATAAATAAATTTTAACGAATTTGAATAACGAACAACTAAGAAATTTAAAAAAAAAACTAATACTACATACTTAGAATAATGATAACATGTATACTAAAAAAAAATCATGGTAATAAATTAACAATTACAGTAGTTGTTCGAAATGAAACCCTCTAGCTTCTACGCATTTTTGTTGCCGAATCGTTGTCTTATTGATTTACGGATAGTCAAGGGATCGTTTCTTATAACATTAGAGCAAAAGATAATTCTATCAATTAATTGTTGTCGGTCATTAATATTTTGTGAATAAACTAATTCTTTCAATCGTCCCCAAATATAGTAATCTACGGGGTTAAAATCTGGGGATCTTGGAGGCCATGAAATAGGACCTGCACGTCCTATCCATCTGTTGCCAAAAACATTATTTAGATGGTTTCTTACCGCAACTAAAAAATGAGGCGATGCTCCATCATGTTGGAAATACATCCCTCGGATACCTACGTTGGCAAGTAAATTAGGCAAAGTATTTTGCAAAAAGTCTAAGTAAACTTGTCCTCTTAAAGGACCATCAAAAAAGTGAGGTCCTATAAATTGGTTATTTATCACACCAATCCACACGTTCACGGAAAACCTTAACTGAGACCGAAACTCTCGAACAGCATGGGGATTGTCTACTGCCCACACATGTAAATTACGGGAATTATTTATCCCATCCCTTGTAAACTGTGCTTCATCTGTAAACAATGTTCTATACAGTACTGGTCTATGATTTGCAATCCACCTACAAAATTCCAACCTATGGATTTCATCTCCAGGGTGTAGCCGCTGAACTAATTGAATATGATATGGGTGTAAATTATTTTTTCGTAAGACTCTAGTCACTTTTGATTGGGTAACATAAAGTTGTCGACTTACTTTCCTGGTGCTTATTGTGGGGTTCGCAATAACAGCATCAAGAATATTATCTTCCTGCTCATGATCTACATTTCGTTCTGTATTTGCCTTAGGGAATGTGCCATGTTCTCGCAAATAATTAAAAACTGATGCAAATGTTGAATGACAGGGAACTCGACGACCAGGAAATCTTCTATGATATTCTCTTGCTGCAGCTCTGCCATTCCCATTACAGAATCCGTACATAAAACACTATTGTAAAATAGATAAAACAAAGCGAAATATTATTTTACACGTATAAATAATGGTTGCAAATGACAAATAAATAAGAACAAACAAATGTCAAACTATCACAACCTACCTTGATACATAGGTACCTACTATGTATTTATAATAAAAATAAAACCACATAATATCTTAGTTGCAAGAATAAAATGTGAAGTTTTTATTAGAGGTTAATAAATAGCATTTATAATTATTAATTAATAAGTGTGAATTTATTGTTCGTTATTGTTATTCGCTACAATTTATTTATTGATTATTGACATGTTTAATTTAGTTGAATAGTTTCTATAGTCTACAAAAATAGGCCGATTTCTATTTAAAATTTAAAAATGAACTAATCCGGATCTGGAAATTGTCGAAAATGAATTTAACGATCTAGTAAGCTCACTAAAGGCTTATGTTTGGCTCGTTTAGTTCAAATGCATACAATTAACAATGTTTTCTTTATGTTATAACATAATTTATGTGACCCCTTAAGGGGATTTTTCAGTTTTACCCAAAATCGAACCTTAATAAAAAAAAGATGACCAAAATGTCACATACACAGTTTTGATTGTCTATCTATGTACTTTAAAAATATCTTATTATAATTTAAAAAAATCTTATACAGGGCGAACTT